AATGTAATGTAATCAAAGAACGGAGATTCAGCGTTTTATATTTTGGCAGCTTGCCAAACTTCATTATCTCAGTTATATTTCTCTAAATCTAATGATGTTATATAAAAAAAAGCTAATTTAGTGTACTTTGCAATTACCAAGTCAATCGGAATTATCATTTTTAATAGGGATGCTTTCCTATAAAGGTATGCATTTTTTTGTTTCTTTGTTTGATATAAAAGTAGATATTCCTGTCTGAAAAGTTTGATAAATTCACTGAACCATAGAGATTACCAGTGTCTATGTTTTTTGTTTTTTTTCGTTTTCTTTTTTTCTTTTTCTTTTTCTTTTTTTACTTCAATTTTGAAGAAATGGAGAACTGTGGATGACAATATCAGTACAAAACATCCTAGTTATAAAGTCCAAGTATGAATACAACATGGCGGTTCAATTTTGAGAATTTTAAAAGTCTATGAATTTAGTGCATCCAACAACAAAAGTTATGTCGCCTCGCCAGACCTGACTTGGAGAGATCTCGCCCTTCTTGCTCTGAGAGGTGGCCCACGTTCAAACAACCTGGACATAGTTAGGAAAGGGGGGGGGGAGGAAGGGGGTGATTTAGATTCGCTAGGCAAAGCAAGGAGTGAGTGTTCGGCTATGTTTCAGTCCCATCTTATCACTCACTCCCCTCTCTCTCTCTCTCTCTCTCTCTCTCTCTCTCTCTCTCTCTCTCTCTCTCTCTCTCTCTCTCTCTCTCTCTCTCTCTCTCTCTCTCTCTCTCTCTCTCTCCCCCTCTCTCCCCCTCTCTCCCCTCCTCCTCCCTCTCTCTCTCTCTCTCTCTCTCTCTCTCTCTCTCTCTCTCTCTCTCTCTCTCTCTCTCTCTCTCTCTCTCTCTCTCTCTCTCTCTCCTCTCCTCTCTCGCTCTCTCTCTCCCTCTCTCTCCCTCTCTCCTCCTCTCTCTCCTCTCTCTCCTCTCTCTTCTCTCTCTCTCCCTCTCTCTCTCTCTCTCTCCCCTCTCTCTCCCCTCTCTCTCTCCCCTCATCTCTCTCTCTCTCTCTCTCTCTCTCTCTCTCTCTCCTCTCTCTCTCTCTCCTCTCCCTCCTCCCTCTCTCTCCTCCCTCCTCCCTCCCTCCTCCCTCCTCCCTCCCTCCCTCCCTCCCTCTCTCTCCCTCCTCCTCTCCTCCCTCCCTCCCTCCCTCCTCCCTCCTCTCCTCCTCTCCCTCCCTCCCTCCCTCCCTCCCTCCCTCCCTCCCTCCCTCCCTCCCTCTCTCTCTCCCTCCCTCTCTCTCTCTCTCCCCTCCCTCTCTCCCCCCCCCCTCCCTCACACACACATGCACACATACACACTTGTGAGTAATATTTGTGGGTATGAATAATGTATCATCTCAAATAGCACCTCTTGAGCTACCAAACATTTATAAATGCTTTGGCCGCAAAACTTCGAGGGTAATAGGTGTAAAGGTGTAGGTATCGATTCCCTTGTTTTCCTTTGATTTCGTTTGTGTGTCTCCTACAAACCTCGACCTCCAGTCGCATTCACGAATCGCAAAGCACGGTTTGGTTGTGGTCAATTTGAGCGTGATGGGCTACTTGGCTCTGCCCCTCGCAATCATATACTTACAAAAAGTATTAATGTGTATTATATCAGGATTAAGTTTAAGATACACTGACAATGCACTTCAAATCAATTGATTTGAAGTGCATTGTCAGTCAACCTAATTTATTATATTATTTCCGAAAGTGTTAGTGAAAATGAATGGTGTAAAATGAAAAGCAGTGAATGTGTGCAGCGGTGTATTAATATAATGATGGGGTAAATAGGATGCAGATGTTGTGAAACTTATACTATTACCATATCTTTTAATGTCAAATTATTAATGGACACTCTTTAGACCTGGACAGACAGGGCACTTCCCAGCGAACCCCTTTCCCAGCTCACGCTTGCTCACTCACCCGGTGAAGGGCCGAGTCAAGCTTCACTCTACCCAAGGCTAAGGAGATATTCCCTTAGCCTTTATTTGTCGTTTCAGTGGTTGGTGTCCAACACCTTGTTGCTGTTTCCCCTCCAAACTATTCAAGAAACCCATTGCTTTCTATATTCGTTTTACATATTCATTTCGTTATTTTTGGTAATGAAATAATTGTAAACATTTGGAAATATAATGGCGTATGAACTAATGTCATATGTTCTTTTCCAAATAACATATCAAAAGTTTACCATTATCTAAATAGTGGATCCAGGTGATATAAGACGAAGAGAGAGAGAGAGTAGTTGCTTAAGATAATGCAAAGCCATATATTAATATACATCCTTCATAAATGTATGGAGGATATTTCGTCTGACGAATATTAATATGAATAGTCAATTCCTCCAACGCTGTTTGTTTTTTTATATAGAAAATATGATATGAAATTGAAATAAAATGATGTGATAAGATTTCTTGATAATCATCTTCGAAATAATATTCAATAATTTGTTTAAGGCAGGTTTCCAAAATTTCCATCAAATTAACAACTAAACAGGAATAAAAGCGATCCCTCTCTCTCACTGCATGTATATTTCAGTCATTATTGCACTTCTTCGCCTGCTTTCCGTACTTTCCCACCTCCTCACATTCAAACCATCCTAATTATGACCTATTTGTTTGAAGGTGGCCTCCTTTCAGGGTAAGAAGGGCATGATCTCACAGAGCCAGGACTGGCGAGGTGTCACCGCTTTTGTTGCTGGCTGTACATAGAATTTGAGAACTTACTGAAGTAATTGAATTTTTCCCATGCTCCACACAGGGGGGGGAGGGGGATTTGGTCACTGGGTGTTTATAATTTTCAAGGAGGATCATATGTACATAAACACATGCACATAGAGTTAAATAAATGATTCATCCTCATGTAGTAGGCCTACATCAACTTTTATATCTAAAGGAATAAAGAATGTTAGTTATCCCTACAAACTGTTTTTTTCAATAATTGTCAATAGTAACAGATTGCAATAGAGTTGTTGATTAGCCAGTTGCACCCATTATCTTTACTAAGAAGTGCATAAAATCATACATACACCTAGATGTGGTTGGATGTTTGCCAATTTATGGTACCTAAGACTTGCGATAACATCTAAACATAATATTTTTTATTGAAAACACACAAAACAATTGCGATACCAACTAGATGAAGACAGTGCACACAACCGAGTCCCATATAGTTTTTATTTCAGAGCTGGTATTACTGTGTACTATCATTTTCATTATGAAACAATCAGCATCTCGCTTATACATCCGAAGTTCAAAAATCCGACTTTTAGGTACCCTCCGTATTGAATCGCCCTTTATAGCGCTAATGACCAATTTCAAATAAAATCAAATTTACTGATACTGTGATGTACCGACTGTTGAGCGAAGTCTAATGGAAATATTTCAATCCTTAATTATATGACTATTTTCAAACATTAATGCTTTGTACTCAGTATGCACGCAGATCACTTCGTAAGCTAGAGGATATTACCAGGGAGTCTCAATAGAAGCTTATTTCGTGTGTAAAAGGTCACAAAACTTTTTTTTTTTTCCACAAAATATTTTGTTTTAAATCACAGTTATATAATTTTTTTTCTGATATTGGTATAAAAGTATTCTTTGAACATTCACAAACTCATATCAATGTGCAGTGTCATAATTAAATGCCGTATGCACATTTGCAACAAGCAAAAGTCCACATAGATGTATCTGGGCGCTCATTAGCAATGTATCTCCCCAGGTGTTTACCGGGTTTTGTGTCGACTGCCAGAGAACTAGCCATAGCTGGGCTTTAATACTTTTTTTGTAGTTTCCTCATCCATGTACCTATACTATATGCTAGCTAACTTAATTTCACACCCTTCAAATCTGGGACGGTCCCCTTAAGTAATCAACTCAGTGTTGATTGCTGTATCCATGAAATTTCGTCTGCTAAGTGCTCTTAAGGTTACTCATTATTTTGATAAATAGTGTCCCTGGACCAGAAGATATGATATGCAAATTCAGCAGTTTTAAGTAAAACTAAGTGGATTGACAGAGAGTGTTTTATATCTCTTCATAATGGATCATAAATAAGTCTTTTTAACCCTTTGCTTGTGGCGTAGGAGCACACTTTCATTTGTTTCCCAAATCAATCTCTTTTTCCTTTCATGTTAATTCTTTTCCACTTATTCTTGAATTGTTTCTTGTCCCTTTCTTTTTTTTATTATTCTCTCATTCACAGCTTCTCTTTCGTTTTCTCATTTATTTATTCATTAATTTCCTTTCATTCTCTCTTCCTTGCAGAATTTTTCAGCTCAGACTGAAAAGGGTCATACAAATAAAAGAAACAAAGTTAAGGTGAATATAACGGATACCAGTGATAGAGTTTTAACACCTAATTGGAATGTGATATATATTTTTTTCTAGTACTGTAGCCATTCCTGGTGAGGACGTATATCCCATCAAGGATGGATTCTGTCACTGTCCAAGAAGAGGTGGAAAATATCCCTCTCTATGGAGGTAAGATATAAAATTTCTGGTATAGGCAATGTCAGAACAACATTGTTTGTTATTAAGAGTATTTTTATTAATTCTCCTAGCTTAACATATGTATGATATGTTACCATTATAATTATTATTATCATTATAGTAGTGATTTTTACTGTATTTATTTAATGTTTTTTTGTTTTTTAACTAGAATATATATTTTTTTTAAATGAAAAAACACTACAGTGGTGATACTGTGGTAGAAAACCCACAATGCACAAACTAGATTTATTGAAATAAGTGAGACAGTTTCGGAATTGTCCTTGATTCCATCTTCGGGGCTGAAGATGTAATAAAGGACAGTTCTGAAACTGTTTTCTCACATATTTTAATAAATTTAGTTTGTGCATTGGGGATTTTTCTACCAACTATATTTTTGTTTTCTTTTGATTTTATCTTATTAGCCCCAAGCTGCTGGGCATGGCATGTACGTACATACCATTGCTCATTGTGTGTGTTGAATTTAGTAGTTGTTTTTACATATAG